GCACTCCAAAAAACTCACTGGCTTTTGCATTTGGACAAGAAGTTGGGAAAGAAAGGAAGGCAAGAAAATGGAAAAAAAAATATTCCTTACTAAAGCAATACCTTGGCATGTCTGATCTCATGTTGCAACTYCTGATTTTTGCCTGCAATGGAGATTTGTGCTATTGTGTRTGTGGTATAATTACTAAGACAGATTTTTTTTTTTCCTAATGGCACAATTAATAGGATATTTCCTGGCCTGTTCTGCATTTTGAGTGGGATTTTCACTTCTCCTTTGGGTTCTGAGCGTAAGAAGAGTAAGTGTCAAAAGGCAGGAGCTTTCCCAGTTTTAAAAGAGAGAGGGTGTAACCATGTGTAATGTGAGTCTCAATTTTGATTGTAGAGATGATGAAATAAAATCCTCCTTAATCCTTACTGGGAAACACTGAGGTGAATTAGTCTGTTTGTTTTTGTTAACTTGTTATAATCCTTTTGTGAAAGAAATGTGTTGTAGTATCATCAAAAATATCTCCCTGCTTTACCCCAAAAGGCTAACAGAGCCCTGGACCATGTGCAGAGTGACCTCAATGCAGCGAAAAATGAAAGGAGAAGGAGAATAGACAAAACCAAATATATTATTTGCCTGGAAAAACACAGTGCTTTGCCATATGCAATTCTTTCCAGCACTGCCATTTTTGAGCTAGATGCTTAGTCATTATTAATGATGGTGTATTTCTTCAAAATTCTGTATTTTGGGAAATAATTTTGCCTTTTCTTCCCCTCTTAAGGTTAGTTAAAATAATATACAGTAGTCTGTGTGTATTGGAGTCCCTGTGCATGTACCAGTTGGAGTATTTTTGGAATATGTGAGGAAGCTTGTTCCAGTTATTTCATTTATAGCAAAGTATAAACTTGAACTTGAGAAGAGGTCCCTGTTCACATTGGTCAGCTGTGCTGTGCTGTGGTTGGAGGCTTTTGATGCTGCCATGACTTCACAAAAATACTTGACACAAGTTCATAAAATCACTGAGACCATTTGTTCTCCCTCCCAAAACCTCCTTAATTTTGTTAATTGATAAGGTGTCCACGCAGCCCCCACTTGTGCACACAAAGGTCGTTAAGGCTTAATTAATTCACTAAAAATAGCTGAACTATTTAAGGAGGAGCACCTTATAATTAAKAAAGGAGAACATGTTGTTCATTCTTGTCATTACTCAGATAGAGTAAAGCAGCTGGTATGGCTTTTCCTGGTGTGATTATACTGAGTTCCAGGGCAGGACCTTGTATGAAGGACAGAAACAGCTGGAGATGAAGTAGAAAAGCATACTTTTTGAGTAGGTAAACTAATAAAGTTATGTTTGTGGGAAGCACTGGGAGCAGAAAGTGATGTTTCCAAGATGAAGAAAAGTAAGTCTCTAGAAATTCAGCCTCCACAAACCCCAGACTTTACTGTTACTGGGGTCCACATTCATCCCCTTTAAATTCAGACACTCGGTGGATTCAAAGTGAAAGGTGGACAGATTGATCTTTCAGATGTGCATCTTGGCCTTGCCTGGACAGGAAACTTTCCCTTGGGCACCTAAGTCAAACTTTAGTGGAGTGAGTAGTGACTGGCCAAAGAATCTCGCCCAGCAAATCCTCAGATCTGTTCTACTTCTCCACAGTCACTATTGAAATTTGCCTTTTCAGGTCCAGCTCTTCTCTACTGGGAATGCATTTTAACAACTCTATCTCCTTTATCCAAGTGCTCACAAAGCCTCACAGTCCCTAGCTGCARCCTGTTAATCAGAATTGTCAGAACTGTCCCTACTTGCCATCATTATATCAGAAATATCCAATATTACTGGCAGGGAGAGTGCATATATCACCAACTTGCTCTGTTTTATAAGTGCTCCATCACTTTTACTGTGTTTCAGGGAAACTTCATGAGAAAGCTTTTTTGAATCGACAGCAGGGTGAAATGGTGTTTCTCCAGCTTGTCAATAATTTGTTCTTTTCTTTCCATTCACTGCTTGAGTTCTTGATCTTGATGAAGGTATTATTTAATTGCTGCCTTTCTGAGTCCTTACTCTTGGACAGATATGTAATAGGTTGGTATTTAGRCACTACTGGAGTGCTTTAAGAAAGCTGTTTTCCTTTGAAGCTCAGAGTGACTAAGCCAGGGAAGTTTTCTTTCTCATCTCCTCCTGGTGGTTAATAGACTTCACAAGGGATCTCAAAACACTCTGATAAGCCTTTGAAGTTGTTACCTACTAAGGTTTTGCTCTTTCTGAGTGCTGAACATCGAATTACTGACTGCTGTTAGAAGCAATGAAAAGGATTCACAAAACTGACGGAGCCTTGCCTACAATTTCCACAGAAAAAGAGCTGAATATAATGGATAAATTGTGTTGCTGGGGAGATTTTGATTCTGTTCCCTCCTCTGTCACCAGTCTGCCTTGTGATTTGTGGTAGTATTTTCAGTTATGCCAGTCACATGAGATCAAAACCCATGAGTCAGTCTCCACCCAAATCATGAGCCTGGCTTCCAGATCCTGAAGCTTTGAACAGAGATCATACCGTACTTTTTCTTTGGTTTATCTTTTGTTTTTGGAATTTCCTCTGCCTATTCCCAGTGTGTCTCTAGCAATTTATGTTTCCYATTGCTTTGGAAGTGTTGAGTAGGAGTTTTGACCATTTGGGGCTGTTGGAGGCCTTGTTTGACCTACGCAATTTTATTTTTGATCACCAAGTGAATCTCATTTGTTCCAGATTTCACATCTTTCTCCTTTGYCCAATGACTTCTGCATCCCTTAGCCTCACACAACCCATCCCTCCTGTTTCTTCCTTATCATAGTCATTCTTCCAGGCACACGGTGTAACTCTTGGGGTGTCCTGTGCTAAGAGCTGGACTCAATGATCCTTGTGGATTGTTTCCAACTCAGCAGATTCTGTGGTTCTGTCATTCTGTAAATCTGTGGATTTGTGGTTCCATGAATCAGCTGCTCTGTTCCCCCTTTAGTCTTCTGGTCTGGAGATGGTTTTTCACCATTCCCTTGAAGGGTAGAGAATGTATAAGAAGATTCAGGTTTGGGTAACCTTTAACCTTTGCTTAAGGATATACAATTGGAGAGAGTAGAGAAATGGTGTTCCTGTGTCTTTCCCGAAAAAGATTGAATTTTGATTTTTGACTAAGGTGGTGAAAAAAGCAAGGGGAAATTTGGTGTCATATTGCTGTTTGCTCCCTTAGYATTTRCCTCTGTTCAGGARGGGTAAGGTGTCAAAATCTCCTRGCRATGGTTYAACGAGCTAAATCCAAATTAGAAAWCGTGACTTTGCAGTAATTATGCCATGCACTCTGGTGGTGCCTTTTATTYCCATGGTGGCATTGTTGCTGTTGCCATGAAATTTGCAGAACACAGCTAACAATTTAGTTCATAAAATTCTGCAGAACTAGGCTACTCACGCCTCAGGTAGATGGGAAATGCATCTTCTTTTGCTCATCCTCACGCCCTACCACTCTTTCACCCACATTGTTGGCTGCTCCTTGCTTATCCCCAATGTGCCAGACATTTTACAAGCCCATAATTTCAAGCAAAACTGCAGCCAAACTGTTCTCCCCTATATCCAAGTACCTCTAGAGTCTGAGTGCTTGAAGCTGAATCTGAACCCAGAACAACACTCTTTACACAGCTCTAAACTTTGCAACAGTTGTCTCCAAGCCTTGAATTCACACTCTCCCCATAGTYTGGTGACAGGAAATGTGGAGTTTGTTTTTAAACCCAGAATAATCAAAAGCTGCATTCAACACATGAGAAAGATTCTTGATGCCCACCAGAAAATCATTTGGTTGAACATTGCTTAGGCAAGGCCTGAATTTATACCAACTGGACGTGTCTCAAAATGTTTCTAGTTGTTCTGGGGATGTTTCACAGAGCTGCAATAATTAGAAGGGATATGTTCTTTAAGACASAGAAATGCTACCTCACAGCTTGAATATTAATAAGAGAAAATTTATGAGAGCCAACAGAGTAATATAATACAGTCTCCAAAGGAAAAGGGCATTTATTTGCTTAGCTCTTTCATCAGCTGTTTTCGGACACACACTGTGTGCATAAAATACAGTTATGCAACCCGTGTGGGTCAACAGCGGAAGGTTGGTTGCTTCACCAGGATTATAAGAATCTTTTAAACACAATGGTACCACAAATTAAAATGGAAATCTATCAAAACCATTATCGTCCTGAAAGCTTTGGCCACAAGCATAATTATTGTAGAAGGATGTTGTCCTTGGCCTCAGCTTTGGCTCAGTTCAGCTGGTGTTATTTGTATCCCTCCATGGCTCAGAGTTAGAATTTGCATGGCTGAGGACCATAAATTTTTAGAGGAAAAAATATGCTGTTTCCTTAATGCTAGCACTAGCAGTTTTGTATTGTTGTGTCGTGGTTTGTAGGCAACTCATTGGATAACAGAGATAGGAAAGGACTGTGTGTGGTGGCTGAAACCTGCCTTGAACCTCGGAAGGATTCAGATGGAGGTTTCTGTCTAGACCTGGCTGTTTGTGTCTGAGGCAGTTGCTTTACGGAGTCAATGTCCAGAGTTTTTGGGTTTAACTCTGAAGTAATTGTTTTAGATAGCAAAACAGTGAAGCAAACATTGAGCTGACATAAACTGCAGTCCATAGACCTAAATAGAACARAGAACAGGTGCTGAGTTTTTCCACCCTGCCCGTGAAGCAGGAAGTCCTGTAGGGATGAGAGTAGTTGAAAGAACACCCTGGATGCTGCTTGCCATCAGCAGGRGACAAATGTCCTTGGAGCTGCCCTCAGGAGARRCTCCACATTGAGCATCCTTGAGCTCCTGACAAAGGCTGAATCCTKCAGTGACTCCATTCTGGTGTTGATKATAAAYKACATTAAATAACAGGCACTGTTGGTTATTTTTAAAATGCTTATTTTTCTTTCAAYATCCAATTTTTCATCTTGAGGKAGGTAAATGAGTAACAAGTCTGAAGTCCATTTTTCCTCTCTTTCCATCCCCCAGGCTGGTATAGATGGAGAAAGCATTGGGAACTGCCCATTCTCCCAGCGTCTCTTCATGATCCTGTGGCTCAAAGGAGTTGTGTTCAACGTCACCACTGTTGATCTGAAAAGGTAAAAATTGTTCAGTTTAATTGAAAATAGTTGTATGACCCAGTGTTTGCAATATAGAAAGACCCTTCCAAGTTAAATCAGATTTTTATCTGGCCTAGAGAGCCTGTGGTGCACAACAAAATAGTTGGGATTCAGGTTTGGTTGTTGTTTTTTTTGGTTTTTTTTTTTTCACTTGTTTTTTTTTTTTTTTTTTTTTTTTTTTTTTTTTTTTTTTTTTTTTTTTTTTTTTTTTTTTTTCACTTGTGGAATGTTTTTATATTAAACAGGGTGCTTGGGGTAGTTTCAAAGTCTTCTAACCACAAATTACATGAGAGAAAAAAAAAAAGGGCAGACTGATTTTGTAGGAACTATAAATATCTGTGCAACTACCCGACCATAAAGATTAGTGATTTCATGAGTTTTTCTCTGCTTGCAGAAAGCCAGCTGACCTGCACAATCTGGCTCCTGGGACCCACCCACCTTTCCTGACATTTAATGGAGAAGTCAAGACAGATGTTAACAAGATTGAGGAATTTTTGGAAGAGATTCTTGCACCTCCAAAGTAAGACCTTCGGATTTTTTTTCAGTCAATATTCCATTTCCTAGGAATGAAAGATGCCCTAAGAAGTGTTCCTAAAAAGCACTCCTTCCTACAACCTTTACTTACAGGAGTAATATTTATTTATGAAACTTGCTGGCTTCAGTGAGATGACTTCCATGTGTGAAGGTTACTTGTGTGACTAATAACTGCAGAATGTTTTCTCTGTACACATTTCAGGATGCCCTTGTATGCAGAATTAAGGAGACCAGTGCTAGAAAAATTTTGTAGGGGTCTGGTGGCCACATTTTGCAAAGCTAAAAATAACTTGGAATAGATGCTGAGAATTGCCACAAAATATCTGTGCCAGGAAAAGCATTTTACAGTGAAAAACCAGAGGTTCCTGAGCTGTATGTTGTGTTAGGAAGGTTGGAAGGGAAGCTGATTACAGAGGACGMGAGGCTCTGGGGGCAGGAAAGTGCTCATTATTCCAGTCAAGAAATGACAAGAGCCCATGACTGGAAGTTATAACCAAACTAATTCAGATTAGAAATAAGGCCCAGATCTTTCCAGTAGGAAAAAGCTACCAATGAAATGTTTAGATTTACCAGATATGCCTTAGTCAAACATTTTGGACTTAATACAAGGATAAAGGGAAAAAGAAATAGTTGGCTTGTAAGTTGGGCCTTAGAATCTATGAATCAATCAAATTTGGATTGGTTCCTTATAGARCATTTTACCTTCAAGTAAATCAGCAGCTATAGGCTAGTCTTGAGGCAAGAGATCAGATATTTAAATTTTCTATACTCTGTTCCAAGACCCCTGAAGTCAGTAGGACTCATAAGTTTGTGTTTATCTTTCAAATCAATACATTCCTTTTCACCAAAGGTCTATAAAAAGCAATGCAGAGGCTATATTTATGTTTCTTCACCTGCTCAATCCTAACTCCCCTTGCTATTCCATCCTGGAGTTAATTTTCAGCGTAGAGGATTAGACATGACTACCATTCATAATGGAGAGAGCTGGCTGCCAGACAGACTCCCCTGCACCTTTCTGGAAATTTATGCTTCCTTCTGCTTTAAAGCTCATTTTGGATTGTGGTTACAGAAAGCACAAGTGCAATTACCTCTGTTCTGACACCATCATGTGTAACTCTCCACACGCCTGTCTTGACAGACAGATAACAATAGGGTTAAGAAGGTCTTGCCAAGCTGTTGTTCTGAGATAATGACCGTTAATTGCAGTTCTTCACGCAGGAGGTTTTTCTCTCTTCTGGTAAATCTTGTAGCCATTACTGTAGTACTGGTTGCAAGATGTTACTCTCGCACTGCTTTTGCCTTTTCAGGTACCCCAAGCTGGCTGCGAAGCACCGCGAATCAAACACTGCTGGAATCGATATCTTTTCCAAATTTTCTGCATACATCAAAAACACCAAGCAGCAGGATAATGCTGGTGAGTATGACCACTGCCAAACGTGCCAGGGAGTTTGTGTGCTTASAAGTGGAAAAATTTTGCCATTCTCCATTTTACTGTAAGCTCTGTTCAGATGACATCAGGTAGTGCTGCTGATCAGCTGGAGGTCRTTTGTTAGGTGGACTCAACATGTCCACAGTTGAATTAACCACATCTGTTGTAGTAAATAAAACAGGCACAGAGTTTTTGGAAGCCTCTTTACCATCAGCCATGACATGACTCCTGTCTATACAGCCCAATTTCTTCACCAGAACACGATCCTTTACTGTTTACTGGAAGAGACTGGTGGACTGTGCTACCTCTACTCTGCCCAGGCACTCACTGCTTAGTGCATGTGTGTTGGCTGGACCCAAACCTGTGAGAGCAATTTATACTTTATTAGATTCCCATTGGGCTCTTGGTCCCCTTATCTTATGATTATGTTATGCTGTTTAGCTAATTTGTTAATATAAACTGAGTTATATCAAGACATTTAATATAAAATAATTAAAAGAAAGAAGTTAATGTAGAAAATGTAATTGTGCTCTGTAAGCTCCAGATTTTCCTTCACGTTTGTTTGTGAAAAGACAGAGCCCCCCAGAAGCCAGATGCCATTCATATTTACATGGATCCCACACTGTCTTAGTAATAAAATTTCTGTTCTTCCCCACATTCCTTTCCCCTCAGAGAGGCAAGATTTCAGCAAGTCTGAGCTCCTGTTGCTCCTCAAAGCTGGGGGATTTACACATCCCTGTCCCTTGAGATGACCTAGTAGAATACTTGCAGTCCTTCACTGATGTACCTCCTACCTTATATTCCTGGTTTCACWGTCAGAGACCTAAGGCATGTTGAATACCGTGTGCTCAGATAATTCAGAAAAAACTAGATTTTGCAGGTTCCAGTTCTGCCACACATTTCATCTGTGCAATTATATTTCATTGCCTGGGGCTGACCCATGAGATAAAAGTGGGTAAATGATTTATATCRGATAACAATCTCCTCTGTAATATTTTTGTGTTGTTAACAGAAGGAAATAATTACAGTGCTTCACTTCTCAGTGATGCTAAAAACTTGGRCTTTTTGGCTAATGCTAATGGGGTGCTCAGCTAACCTCTGTAGGAAGTTGTAAAAGGAAGATAAATTAAGAGTTAGACTAAATAGATGTAACAATGAAAATGAAATATCTTGGCCATTCACAAGGAATTTTTATGGTCTGCTCTGCAACTCTAAATCTTCAGCTGTGCTGCCCCACATGCACAATCCTAACTCCTGCTTCTCAGTGACTGCAATATTCGAATCCCTGGATTTGAATATTCAGTCCCCACAAGGGCAGCTCCAGCCAGGAATAAATGGCTGTCCTAGAGGTGTCTGCATCTGGCCATAAGCAGAGCTGGAATTCAAGGTCAAATATCCACTATGGTGAGATAAGGAATCTAATTCCATGAAGAGCTCCACATTTTTAGAAGCTACAGTATGATTAAATGGAGCTTTCCCTAGTTCTGCATAACAATCTCTTGGTTTAGGTACTCTTGTAAATGACARTTAAGCACACCAAGGTTGTGGAGACAAGAGCTGTTAAGCTGCAGGAGAGCAACAATCTTTGCTTCCTGCAAACATCCTCACTCCACTTTTCTTAGCTGGTTCCTCCTCCTGTCTTAGCCAGACACACTGCACTCTCTGAATGTACTGATGCTCAACTTTCCTCYTCAAAGTAGAGAAAAGCTTTTAGCTTAATTTTTTTTTTTACAGCTGGAGTGCTGCAGTTCAGGGAGAATAAAGCAAAGCTGGGCAGAGTAGCACTGGTTCTTTCTATCATTAACTGAGTTCTTTCTGTCAATGAAGTAAAGTTCCTGAGGACCTTRGGGTCCCTGGGACTGTCAGTGCAGACCTCAATTTCAGCAGAGTAATTGAATTCCAGTTTTCAAGGGCTGAGGAAGAATGTTTTCTCCCTTATCCCAGGGACGTTTTGCTCACCTTCTGTCCAGTTCATCTGATCAACAGCAGTTATTSTGAAGGCCAATTTGTATGGAAGAGAATGAGTTAGTGAAAAAGTAGTTGTGTTAGATATTTTGAGCAGTGAAAAGACTGTGGGCAAAGAAGAAGAGCAGCACTGTGTACAGATTTCCTAATGAACGTAATTCTTTTTAATTGGTATTTTGTAAATTTTTGTAAAATTGCAACACTGATTCAAAYGGAATCTGTGCCCTGATCTGATGCATATCATTTTGCAACAGGTCCTGCTGTATTATTCAAAATAATAGAATATAATAGAATCACAGAATCCCCAAAGCTGGAAAAGACCTTGAAGATCATCAAGTCCAAACTTTGAATGTTCATGACCCTGTCGATTAAACCAGAGCACTGAGTGCCACTTCCAGTCCCTTCCTGAATACTTCCAGGGATGGTGACTCCACCACCTCCCTATTCTAATTCTTAATAACTCTTTTGTGACTAAATTCTTCTTGATGTCCAGCCTGACCCTTCCCTAGTACAGCTTGGGGCTTCCAACTGAAGTAAATAGTTTTGAAATCTTATTAATATTATAGTATATATTTTTATTTTATACATTTATTTTTATACATTGTAATAGTATTTTTGTATTATATTATATTATATAGTATTTTATTATATTTTTATCTTTCCTATATAACAGCAGTAGTAGTTTTRTATAGTTCTGTGACAATAAAAAACATTTTATAAACATAAAATGTAATTACTTAGATGAAGTCACTTTATCTGGCTCCACATAAGCAGGTGAGATCCAAAAAAGAATAGAGATTGTTGCTTATGATTATCTTAAATGGTTCCTGTAGATGCCAGCTCTGAGATAAAGGTGATAGATCTCATAGTCATCCTCTTTATCAAYTCCTAGCTCCAGCTGACTCCAGTGCTTGGCTCAATCTGGAAACCACACCAGTGCCTGGAACATCAGCTGCACATGATCAAAACACAAATAGAAAAAGACTTGTTATTAAGTTAAAAATAAGTTATAGAACCCAGATCATTATATGAACAATAATTTTGATTTATTTTTGTTTGGAATAGGGGAGTGCTGAATARCAAGGTAGCTAAATTAGGTTGTCTAAATTAACTCGAGAGTCAGGGGAGTGAATTCAATAACAGGTGGGATACCAGGACACCAGGTACATAGCCAAATGAATTTTTTTTTCCAGAAAGTGGAAGAAGACAATAAGAGGAAGGTTCKGAAGATAATAAGAGTGGTAATTGCTTGTTTTGGTGTTTGGGTCCTCGTATGAGAGTGAACAGATACAAGGAGACGTTTATACCTCTGTTTCTAAGATTGTGACCCCCTCTGCTGGCAAATATGTGAATGTATAAAACAAGCAGCGTTACACGAGCAGCTTTACAATCAGGRTGGAAACATCCCCTTAACAAAACAGGGCTCTTTCTGTCAAGACAGCTTCCTCTCACAAATGCAACGTCGTCAAAAGAGAAGTGTTTCATAGTAACCTGTCAATTTTGACAAAGTTTTCATGGAAAAAAACATGTTTTTTCTGGATGGGTTAAATTTACTTTGAAGTAAAAATGCTTTAACATTACAGAGAAAAATAGTGATTTTTTTCTGGATTCATGCAGTACTTCATTAGCCACACACCGTTATGTTTTATGCCTGGCACAGAAGCAGGTGATAACATTCTCCTGTAAGTCTGCATGGCAATATGTTATCGATCATGATTCATTTACTTACCAAAGGTATTTGGCAATGAGGCTGCCCTGATTTAATAGTTCCCTGAATTTCTGATTCTTTTTTTTCTGTCTTTGTTTTCCTAACTTTTCTGTCTTATAATATAAAAAAGTTGAAAGTTTTGGAACGGGCTGGCGAGGGCTGTAAGCCCAGAAGCAAACATGCTCATGCCATATCAAAGCCCCACCACTTTTAAGCTTCTTGAAAGGGAAGGAATTGATTCCAGATTCTCAGGATGTGGCAAGCTGTGTTTAAAGAAAGTGTGTGCATTTATTATTTCAAGTCAGTTCAATCAGAACTTGATTCCTTCCACCCCCTGTGCCACTTGATAATTTTATAACAGCCCTGTTTGAAGGAGTCATCTCCTCGTTGTGGGATTAGATCTGTGTCTCAGTAGCACGACTGGATTCTTCCCTTCTCTGGCTGTTGTCACCAGGCTTCACCCCTTGTGCCTAAAATGACAAATGCTCATTCACACTAGGACAGAGGTCTTTGAGAGGGTTCATTGACAGCARTCTTGAAAATTATTTCCTGGAAGCTCTTTCTCAAGTTTTCACAGTTTGAGAGGTTTTCGTTGCTTAGTGATTGTTTCATATCGAGAAGAAGTCTGAGCACAGGAAAGTAAACTGAGGTYTTGTGTGTTTACTTTGCTTCCTCTGGTTGATGCTGAGCAAGTCACTCAYGCTCTGTATGGTCACCAGGGTGGCAACAATTTATGTATTCATCGGAGGAGGATGAAATCTAATTAACTGGAATGCTGTGTACATAGTCAGCATCCTGCTTGTTATTTTTACTTGCGAGACTGTGTACTGCAAACCAAGGGGACAACCTGGAGCAACCACCCATTAACTGTCCTGCCTAAAATTGTGAGTTCTTTGGCTCATAGAATGAGCCCTTTGATAGCATGTAGGAGTTTAAAAAGTTGTTCTTGAATTGAGTTCTTAGGGGGCACCAGCTCCAGTGTGGGTGGGCGCATTCATTAGCGGTACGGAAGGATATTTCACTGTGCAGCTCCTCAGAAGGCGCTGAGCTGGGAGACCACCAACACAATTTCATGCAGAGGAATTTCCAGCCGTCTGACCAGAGGACTCCGCTTGTCTGGTTTGGATTTACATCAAGAGGCCAAAAATAAAAGCGCATTTAAATCATTAACTCACATGTGATTAAATGCCGTTCACCTCTCTCAGTAGCTCCATCACACTCTGTGGTTTGGTGCGTGAGGTGGGAAATGCCTCTCCCGRTGTGCTGTGTGTGTACACGTGCAGTGGAAATGCGCACACACGTACAGGGCTGG